GCACACAATTATAAGAGGGAGTTTACTAACAAATGCAAATAGTGTAACCGAATTCTTTGTACCCTCAATGAACCTGAAATAATTGAAAAATTATATTACAAATATTAAAAACTGGCAGTGGGGAGGGCACCAGCCACATACACCGAGGTTGGTGGGTTTGAACCCAGCCTGGGCAAGCTAAAACAACGACAACTGCAACAACTGCAACAACAACAACATAGCCCAGCATTGTGGCGGACACCTGCAGTCCCAGCTACTTGGGAGACTGAAGCAAGAGAATTGCTTAAGCCCAAGAGTTTGAGGTTGCTGGGAGCTGTGACGCCATGGCACTCTACCCAGGGCAACAGCTTAAGACTCTGTCTAAAAAAAAAAAATAATATTTTTAAAAAGGTAGTCATTACTTACAATTCATCATTTCCCAATTACTTACTGAGTTAATCCTTGTTAGCCAAGGTGGTTATGCTCTATCAAGTTGCCGCAAACACTGAATTTGTGAGTTTAATACTGGAATCCTTCCTCCTAGGGAAAAGCCAGGGGCAGTCTCCTACGAGCCCTGGGTCACAACATTTCCATCAACTGACCAATACATAACCTTGTTTTGTATGTTTCTGTTTAAAGATGCTTCCTTTGATACATATATTGCTGGTTCTCAAACACTGAGCTCAAGTCCCACCTCAGTATCATCTCTGCAGGGAGCTTATCTACAGCACCCATTTTCTCCATAGGGCACATTGCAGTCTTCTCAGACTTACAGACACCAGTTGGCACTTCAGCTCTCTGCTTAGGGGGAATTTTAAACATTGAGATCACTAGAAAAAAGCATGGAAATGCAGAAAATGTGATAGTAAACAAATCGTAAAGGGGTCACAATATGAGCTGAAACAGGAAGGCAGAGGGTTGCCTTGCTTGGTCCTCAGCTGAAAACGTGCATCTCGGGCAACTTAACTGCTTTACCACTATGACTATCTCTGGGAATGACAGTTCCCAGTTCATGAAAACACAGTGCATGAGTTCTAATTTGAGGGTTGCAGAGAAATTTTAGCAAGTGGGCAATTTGCAAATACAGCACTTGTGAATAGAGAGGACCAACTGTATAGTTTACTCTTATTCATGCTCTAGAGATTGTTCCCCTTCATTGGATCTGGTTAGTGGAAATGATATACCTTATACCTGTGCCACCGAGGAGCTCTTCCCAACTCTTGTGTGCAGTGATGTCCCCCTACTTGCTTGAAGCTGGCCGCAGTAGAAGCGTTTATACCACAGAAAGTTGGTAAACAGTATAAATCAGGATTTGATGGGGTGATGGTCTAGAAGATTTAAGAGAGTGATGAAGAAAAGTTTTAATAATTCAGACTAAACTATTATCTGGGGCCATTATATTGTGAATGCAACAAAAAATTGAGGCAATATTCTTCCAGTATATGTACTCAAAAACTACTATCTGATTCAGCCAAGCAGTCACTTTATGATTGATGAACAAGTGACATTCGGAAATATATCATTATTACAAATTCATCTTAAGTAATACTGTAATAAAATGATAATATGAATACTTTTTTTTTTTTTTTTGAGACTAGTCTTGCTCTGTCATCTAGGCTAGAGTATAGTGGCATCATCATAGTTCACTGCAACCTCAAACTCTTCAAGGACTCAAATAATCCTTCTGACTTATCCTCCCCAGGAGCTGGGATTACATGTGTGAGCCACCACACCTGGAGAATTTTTGTTTTTTTTTTTTGTAGAGATGGGATTTTGCTACTGACCAGTCTTCAAGTAATCTCCTGACTTGGCCTCCCAAACAGTCTGACTACAGGTATGAGTAACTGTGCCTGATGTGAGAACTGCATTTTTTTGTTAGTTGCAACAACAAGTGGGCTATGATGAAAATCAAAGAAAGTTTTGAGAATCAATTGTCAAAGGGAATTTACAACACATTATAAAGTACTATTATCGACACGTCCTACACACCCTTTACTGGGAAAATTTATAGTTTAAATACATTCATTTCCAGATTGCTGATTGTTTAAGCAGCACACTCCTGCTAGTTCAGTGACCACAATTACTTAACTACCAAGCCTCAATTTCAGTAGGTGTAAAACAAAGAATACATATTCTTTCCTTGCAAGAGTTTGAGAATTGAATGCATTATTTTCCCAATACATTGTTCCCAGGTAGGGACCCCCTTCTCCCTGCCCACCTTATCTGGAGGACAGAACAACCAGCTGACTCATCCTTGCCCACCCTCACCCCACCTTCCAGCCCAGCTCTGGGGAGCAGCATGTCTGGACCAAACAGGCTCTTTTATAGGCAGATGAAAACTCACCACTAGGGGGCGTGAGCAAGATGCCTTTGAGGGCTTCGGTCCTTCAGAGAGCTTCACTGATTCGGAATACTGTGTGTGACCTATTGCCCTCCCAACCCTGACCAAGCTAGAGAGAAGATAAATGTTTGAAGTCTGCAGTCACGGTGCTATGTCCAGAGAATTCTAGCCTGATGATCAGTGTTGGCATCTTGAAGAAAAAAATGTTAACCTCGGAGCCTCATTTGGGGTAACTATAAAACGAGTTAAACTTCTTTTTTTTATAGGTTCACTTCCCCTTCGGCAAATCCAGCACCTGTCTTGTCTTCCTAGGCACACAGCGGGCTGTCGCTGTTGCTGGCTGCCCAATACTGCCCATGACTGTCGCCTGCAAAGGTAGGTCTCAACTGCCGACAGGCAGTCAGTCAGGAAAATACCCCTTCTGCTGCCCCCCATCTTCCAGCCAGTTCTCTCAAGATCAGCACTCACAGCTAACATGTCGTTCCCTGCCTTTCAACAGGGAATATGCATTAAACAAGGTTCTTCTAGAAACAGATGCTTGAAGGAGGTGATTCCACCGGCAGCAACCAAGGCTGCAAAGAGCTAGATCAGCACAGCAGAGAGGTCTCCCAGCATCTCTCCCCAGCCCTCACCCTGTCCTAGATATTCTTGGAGAGGACACTTACTTTTTCTTTGGAGGGGAGTTGACCATCGACTCCTCCCTGGTTTCTCAGCAAAGTCTGCCAAGGGGGCGCCAGCCACCTGTCAGTTACGATGCTCACCCCCCGAGCAAAGGTGCCTCGCCAGTTAAACTCCCAGGCTCCCACTGCTGGGGACTCTCTCAACCATTTTCTCCTTCAAAAGGCAAATACCAAACATTGCCATTTGAGAATTAAAATAATAAAAACCAGCTTGGTTATATTTTCTGCCTGCATGGAATTCACAAATAAAGATTCCCTAAGGAAGTTGTGGCCTGCAAACATGGCTGGCTCCATTTACTTCCGCAGGTCTGTTTTATGTTCCGACACCTCCCTTACCAGTTCTGATGAACAGTTTCACACAGCTGGGATGATTCTGGTCATTCTGATGGTGCCTTCGTGAAGCTTTTTGAAGATGGATCCACGTTGAACATAAAACACGGGTCTCTTGTAAAGAGCAGACATCCCTCCTTACCTGTAACACCGTCAAATGTTACCTTGTGTTCTTGAAGGAAATTCAAGACAAATGTGGATTTTAACCACAGTGGACACCATTAGGTGTCCATGTGTTGGTTTTTTTTTTTTTTTTTTTTTTTGAGACAGAGCCTCAAGCTGTCCCCCTGGGTAGAGTGCCATGGCATTACAGCTCACAGCAACCTCCAACTCCTGGGCTCAAGCGAGTCTCCTGCCTCTGCCTCCCAAGTAGCTGGGACCACAGGCGCCCGCCACAACGCCCGGCTATTTTTTGGTTGCAGCCATCATTGTTGTTTGGCGGGTCCGGGCTGGGGATTCGAACCCGCCACCTTAGGTGTATGTGGCTGGCGCCTTAGCCCGTTGAGCTATAGGTGCCGAGCCCATGTGTTGGTCTTGAAATACAGACCCGATGACTGTGTTTCAGACCGCCAAGGAATGAACGAGAAAGGCTTAACAACAATTTTGAAACAGATCACAGCTCAGAGCCGATACAAATGACCACAAAAATAGTAATTTTTTTTCTTTCAGAGTTTATTTTGAATTTTCATTTTTGGATAACCAAGCAGCTCTTTCAGGAGAATGCACAGAAGAGAGTCATTCTGGCACTTCTGGATAGTATGTAAGATTTTTTTTTTTTTTAATAGTCACATTCGGCCCACTTGCTCAGTCCACACGCTCAGGTTGGGGTGAACAAGAGCAGCCCATAGGATTCCAGAGTTAATACGTCACCGTATATACAAACAGCCAATAAAACCATAATGGTGGCTAGTGGCCAAAGGGGTGGGGTGGGGAAGGGCATCTCTAAAGCGTCCTTTAGTCTATCTTAGCTAAACAGAACCCACTTACACATGGTAACTAGAGAGCACACTGCCTTGAGGAGAGGGTGCTGAGCCCAGTGGCACTTGGCCGCATGCAGGTTCAAGAAAGGGGTTAGCATTGAGTAACTTTATAAAATCCAGGCAGTTTAATTAAAGGGGTTCGGAAAAAACGAAAGCAAGGGACCGTCTGTTGTCACTGTAAAAAAGGCACTTGGAGTTAATGGGACCAGAATCGAAGGACTCTTATCTGATAAAAAAAAATTTTTTTCAAAAAAAATTTCATTTCAAAGGCTTGGATGTTAAGAGATGACCCTCAGGAGTTCCCAGAGGGGGATACTGAGATAAACCACTGAGAAGCAGAACAGAGGAAAAGAAAGGAATAAAATCTTTACAACCAAATTGTACGTTCAAAAAACAAGAAAAAGAAAAAAGAAAAAAAAAAAGAGCAAACCCCAAACAAAACCTAACCAAAGCAAGACTAAGCGAAATCAGAGAACGGAGCAGCAATGCATAGTTCTCCTCTGAGAGAACGCGTTCCTTGAGGCACTGGGTGCCCGCTGAATTTCTCAATAATAGCTTCACAGTAGCATTATTGGGATAAAACCGATTCAAGCAATGCCCAAAGAGTTTCATCGGTTCCCAGAATCTGAGGGAGAACTGAGGTGATCATTGGAGGGTGGCGACATCACCCGCGGGCTTCTCAGTGTCCCCGCCGGTGGACTGGTCAGCTCTGTGGCCCATCGGATGCTGCTCTGGGCTGCCTCCCTGGAGGGGCGGTGTCCACCAGAGCCATCCTCTATTCCGAGAGACAACCTTGATTCTGCCCCAACATTTACGCAGCAAACGGTGATGCAGTGAATGTCCACGTCCCTCGGTGGCCGCTGTTTAACTCCTTCCATCGTCAGGTAACGCGCTTCCTTAAGAAGGGATATTTGGCAATCTTATATTCCACAGGGGCGTGGCTCCGAGACAGCTCATTTAATGTTAAATGCCATCAGTGGTCTCTCCTCCCGTTTCTGCCAGGGACTTTTCTTGTCTTCTCCTTGGTCATCATCATCATCGTCATCTTCGTCTTCCTCATGAGCAGATCTTCCCTGGTGGGGACTGGTGGAGGGCTCCGGGGGGCCGTCCACAGTCCGTTTGCTTGTCTCTTCCTGCAGGCTGGGCAGCTGGCCGCCACTTCTCCGGCTGGCCCCTTCCAGCAAGCATCGCAGGGCACTGTCCTCGGGCGTGCAGACGGTGGTCCCACACTCGCTGTTGCTCTGGTCCATGTCATCCAGATACACCAGCTGCGTGTAGGCGGTGCTGTCCGGGGCCCTGGCTTCTTTCTGCTGGTGCTCCTGGGCAGGTGGGGGGTGGCTTTGCTGCAGAGACAAAGGGTCTCCCCTCCCCTTCCGGGCAGATTTGGGTTCATTCATATCCACACCAGAGTCCAAACTGGCGTCATTGCTTCCGTTCCTTCCGGCTCTTTGGAGATCAATGTAAGAGTGTCTAACGTGAGCGTTGGACCTTCCGTCCAGGGAGACGAACCAGGCCCGGGGATGTGGAAGTGGCTTCCCGCCCCCAAGTTCCATCAGCGCCTTCTCCGTCAGCAGCTGCACCTCGCTGTTCATCTGAGCCAACGCTGCGTCATTCAGGGATGCTGGGATGGAGAGGGACTCTGACATGGCAGCGTTCTGAGGGCTCCATTCCCTGGAGCCGGCGTCCTGCAGGTGCTGCTGAGAGATGGCCTGGGAGGACAGGGGCTGGGGCTGCATCTGTGCGGACGGGTGCGGGAAGATCCCCGCGTGGGGGTTGCTGAGCTCAGCCTGGAGTCTCTCTATGTCAAGCTGCTGGTCGGCAGGGACCACCAGAGGCTGGCTCACGTAGGAATGGTCCCCTGGGAGTTTCATATAATGCGCGGGGATGACCAAGGCAGGTAACACTTTTCTGTAGACGCTGTCATTGACCTGGTCCACAGAACTGCAGCAGATGAGCTGGCCCGGCCGAGGGAAGGACGTGGGTCTCTCCAGGTGATCTACTGATCGGGACATCATACATTCAGCGGGTCTGCGGTCCAGCAGCTGCTCTTTCTCAGGAGATAAAGGCGTGGGGTACAGGTGTTCCTGAATGGTGAGTTTACTCCCTGCGGACGTGGGGGCTTCTCTGTCCTGCTTTTCAAATAAAGGCTGAGAGAGCACAGTGGCGTTGTAACTCCCCCTGTAGTCATTGTTACCAGGGGACTCGTAGCCTTCTCTTTCCATGGACTTTCTTGCCTTTAAGGGAAAAATCTCAACAGACTTACAGTAGTCTTTTCCCAGCGTCCCACTCGGCGTCAAGTTATCAAAGGAGATTTGGCTTTTATCCTCCTCCTTGTGAGACAGCAGCTCCTCCCGAGAGCTGAATTCCTGGGAGGTGCTGTAGGAGAGCTTCAGCATGGGGGTGTGCAGGTCCCCTTCTCCGCTGGGGGACATCATTTCTAAATGAACACCACTCATCAGCTCCTTTGTGCCCGGGGCCTCTGGGCGGCCATGGCCGGTGACAGACAGTGGCCCAGGGAATTCTGACGCCCGTCGAGAGAACAACAAGTTGATATGTGACATGGAAGTCGACTGGTCTCTTTTGGAACTCTCCAGGGCTGCAGGGAGCTGCAGTTTCCTGTGGTGTTGACGGGGCTTCAGACACTTCCTCCTGTGACCCAAAGACACAGGGCAAACCCAGAGATTAGATGTTCTCATGATGCAAACGTCACAAGTTTCTGGCAAAATCCTAATTCTCAATTTCCACAGAGAGAAACAGAACAACATATCAACAGCCAGACACCTTCTCATCCCACATGCTATCTTTATTTTAACCCAGGGCAATATAATCTGGGGATTTTCATCTTCAGCCTGGGATAAGTCAAGTGCTTCTTTTTTTTTTTTTTTGGCCAGGGCTGGGTTTGAAACTGCCACCTCCGGTATATGGGGCTGGTGCCCTACTCCTTTGAGCTATAGGTGCCACCCATAAGTCAAGTTCTTAATTCAAAAGGGGTTACCCAAGAGTGGGTGGTGAGCCTTCTTGCAAACCAGACAGATGTGGCATCAAAACAAGAAGAGTTTCTAATTTTTCCCTGAAGCATTATCATCTCTTAACCAACATTTGGGGGATACTCTGCATGAATCTCGGGACAATTTTCAATCTTCCTTTTTTTTCAGTAACTCCCCTCCTAAGCAATGATCTATAGCACGCCTTGTACAACCTATTTATGCCTTGGCTCATTAGATCAGAAATTTGAATTCTTCGGGCCTTTTTCTTGAGAAAAAAATGTACCTGGGTTTAGAAAAAGAAAAAAAAACCCTCCATAACAAGGTTTCCAAATATCTATTACACTAGACATTCTATTTTTTTTTTTTTTGGAGACAGAGCCTCAAGCTGTCCCCCTGGGTAGAGTGCCGTGGTATCACAGCTCACAGCAACCTCCAACTCCTGGGCTCAAGCGAGTTTCCTGCTTCCGCCTCCCAAGTAGCTGGGACCACAGGCGCTCACCACAACACCCGGCCATTTTTTGGTTGCAGCCGTCATTGTTGTTTGGCGGGCCCAGGCTGGATTCAAACCTGCCACCTTAGGTGTACGTGGCTGGCGCGTTAGCCACTTGAGCCGCAGGCGCCGAGCCTGCACTAGACATTCTAAGTGAAAAAAGATATTACCAAAATGGTTAACACTTTACCTGCAATAATATAAAAGGAGACACAGCAGAACCAAAAGTATGAAAGCCATCCCTCCTAAAATGGCCAAAAGGAACACTGTGTGGTACGTGGTGATGTCCTGCGTGGCAGCGGGACCTAGAAGGTCAGAAAATGGCATTTTAGGTTTTTAAAAATACATTTGAAGTAAAAAGAGGGGTAAGGCATTGGGAATGTAGTATATTTTACTCTTCCTGGCTGGGGCACAGAACCATGGCCAGAGGAAAACACCCTTTGGATGATGTGCTTGTGGTGCCACCTTCATTTTATTCCATGGTTCACCTGACTGTTGTGGAAGGGTCTGTGGTCAGTGGCACTCTGAGAACGCAAATATGAAATGTGCTTGTGTCAAAGGGCCCTCCCTAGCCAAGAAGTGAGCCTGACTTGGTAGAAAGTGCAGCATTCTATGTCTATACTCTTTTACTAAAAGAAGAGAGATGCTGCTTGGTGCCTGTAGCTCAGCGGCTAGGGCTCCAGCCACATACATCAGAGCTGGCAGGTTCGAACCCAGCCTGGGCCTGCCAAATAACAATGATAATTATAACAAAAACAAAAAATAGCCAGGCACTGTGGCAGGCACCTGTAGTCTTAGCTACTCGGGAGGCTGAGGCAAGAGAATCGCCTAAGCCCAAGAGCTGGAGATTGCTGTGAGCTGTGACACCATGGCACTCTACCAAGGGCCACAAAGTGAGACTCTGTCTCTTAAAAAAAAAAAAAGATCTTTTTAAAGAGACAAATCTCTTTATTTAAAAACTAGATAAATTCAGGACTTGCCAGTTTTTAAAAAGAGTGATATTATTTGAGTTCAAAAGATAACCCCCTCTCTTTCAAATATAATTTACTTGAATGGAGCGGGAAGATGAAGTTAAAGTGAACAAAGATTGGAAAAAGAGCTGACACCTTTATCCTTACAGGTTCAGAGAAACTACTTTTAAAACAAAGACAACCTCCATAGGTGTTGGCAAAGCCTTGTCAGAGGTCACTATGATATCTGGAGTACGCATAAAAATCATTTACCAAATATGAACATCTGAAGTCTGGTCCTTCAAGTACTCAAAGTGTTTTAACCTCTGCCACTGGAATTCTCTGCAAAACCCAAGGCCATACCTCAGGGAATTAAGGAACAAAACTCTAATTATCTTCTTCAGGGCTCAGGAAAACAATAGCACTGTAATTTGGTTTTAATAAAAGTGATGGCTGTGAGGTTGACAACCTGTGTATCCCTGTGTTAAACAGCAGCAGGGCTGTGCTGTAGACGCTGTTTGTAGCTCTGGGTCTTTTAGCCGCCACTAGGAAGCTCCCAGGGGACCTACGTCTGGCAGTTTCTGCCTCCTTCCCTTACAAAAGCATGTACAAATCAGCTGCAGGGTGGGAAAACTGACAGCCAAGTTTATGTGAAATATATCTAAAATAAAAGTTTGTTCTAATGCACGGGCTTCGCAGCCTCTACTTTGGAGGGAAGGAGTTTTTCTTCCTCCCTCTTATTTCCTATTTCAGCTACTTTTAACTTTGGAGAACCAGACATTTCTCTACCTGCTTCATGTTTTGATTGCTGTTGAAACAACAGTGTCAAGGGAAACACATGACTCTTAAAACACAGATGTGAAGTTTAAATTCTATCAGGTTGGGCCTAGACAGTTCCTGTGATGTTTCGACACCCATCTGGGAACCAATGGCCTCCGGGAAATCAGTTACTTTGGGAGTCTATGCGCTAATTCCATTGCCAAAATATTTTGAACATTCATGGTGGAACTGCCTTCTTGGTTAATTTAAAGAGATCCTTTTTAATTCATGGCACATTCTGACCTAGCTCCATCATCTACTTTATTACCCAGTTTGGGAAGCGCGTGACTTTGAGATGTGTAAAAGAAAACTATCAAAGGTGCCCTCTGAGCATCAAGATTTGCCCCCGATGAAGAGATTTCCTAATGAAAATGGTTCAAGTAATTCAGATTCTAAAAGCATCTTGAGCAAAGAAAGCCATCACTGGAAAGAGTTCTCTAATTTGAAAAAGAACAATTCTGGAATACTTACGGGGGTATCAATAGTGTTATAAACAGTCACGTTTGGAGAGACATGACTTAATGTACATATCTTAAATGGAGATGAATATTCTTTGAGATAAGAAACGATCGGTTTGCTTTTAGCCCTTTTGGACATGACCGACCGGGCTTTTCGTCCCCAGTGGTGACTTTCTCCTAGTGCCTCTGCCTCTCCCAGCACATCCACTCCCAGCCGCCAGACCACAGCTGTTTGAGGAATTAGGGAGGAGGTCCACCCGCCTCTGTGGGCTTTTGAGTAAGAATTCCCTACGGCAGCTGTCTGCACAAAATAGGGCCCTGAGACAAAACTATTTTCTGTGCATTATTCTTATCCTAGATGGGAGAGTTCCAAGCAGAACTCCCCCACGCCCATGAAATACTGTGTCATCCTCATTTCATTTTCAGACTACTGACTACGATGTGATCTCCCTGCTGAAGTTATTTTCAAGAGCACACTCAGCCTGAACCCTCAAAGACCAAACAAATCAATCCGCATCATCGTGAGGTGTTGGCCTCATGTTACCTGGGATGGGAGGGGACATCGCTGCCACCCAGTACCCCAGCTGGGGGGCAATGTACGTCCAGGTCAGCTGGCTGCCTTCTTGGTGCACGAGGCCCAGACCGCTCTTCAGCCACGTTCCTGTGGGATGGAGAAGGGAACTTTAACCACATACATGTTAAACTCCCATGTCCTGTTGTAAAAGGCACCTTCCTTGTCATGTTCATGGTCATGTTCATGTCCATGACCCACAAGATGGCCAGACTGTCATTCAGGGGCCACACACAGCTCTCAGCAGAAATTCTGCTCAACGTCCCTCCAGGGAAAAGGTGAGCAACTTCAGTTTTTCTTTGCATTCCCAATTAAATTCCTTTTAGCCACTTTATCCAACATCTCTCCAGCCAAACACAGATAATTTTAGCAAGAAGCCTTTAGGGTTCAAAAGTAGAATAAAGGCAGCCTGATAGGAGTTGGTGGGAGTGCAAAGGAGAGGGAGACCCAGCTCTGTTTATGCTGTTTATCCTTGATCAAGTAAGCCAGTTTCCTATCCTCAATCACAGGCTGCCTATATCAGAATGACTTAGGGAAGTTTTTCTAAAAAATAATATAGATTCCTGGATCTCATCATTGCAAATTCTGACCCAGTAACCTTGGCTTAAATGGGTATTTTAGAAAGCTTCTAGTTTGTCCTGATGCGGGGAAATAGCAAATAAATCAAGCTCTGTCTTCCTGTTACTGCTTTAGTTTTTAACATTACCACGCACCTGCTGTGTACTAGCTAGTGACAGCACGAGTGGCCCATACACATTATCTGTAATTCTCACAATGACCCCACAGAGTAGGACTTATTTTCCCTTTTTGGATGAAGGCCCTCAAGATGGGTGAATTTTTTACCCTCTCCCTCTGCCCTCCCTCCTTTCTTTTGACAGCATCTCACTCTGCAGCCCTTGGTAGAGTGCCGTAGCATCATCATAGCTCACAGCAATCTCAAACTCCTGGGCTCAAGCGATCCTCCTGTCTCAGCCTCCTGAGTAGCTGAGACTACGGGTCCCTGCCACAACACCTGGCTAATTTTCCCTATTTTTAGTAGAGATGGCGGTGGCGGGTCTCGCTTTTGCTCAGACTGATCTCCTGAGCCCAAGGGATCATCTTCCCACCTCAGCCTCCCAGAGTGCTGGAATCATAGGTGTGAGCCACTGAGCCCAGCCCATAAAACTTTTCTGAGGCCTGTGTGTTGCAGAGAGCAGAGCAGGAATAGAACCTGGGGCTGCCTGGCCTCTGCCCAGCCACCCTGCGTTTCCTATAAACCTTTCAGCATTTGATTGTATGTTTACTTTGTAAAGTTTCTAGGAGTAGAAACTGTTTCTGGTTGAAGATTAACTTGCCCAAGCTTGCTGGGTGGTTTCCCAGCCGCGAACAAATGCTTTTTGCTAGGCTGAGCAGGGCATCTGCAGAGAGCCCTGCCCTGAGGCCTGCAACGGGAGCTGTGAGCAGCAGGCAAGGGCGAGTGGGCTGTGCCTCCACGGCACGAGCACCCACCTTCACCTCACCGCATGGAAATGTTGCCACCTACACAGGGCTCCTGTAAGGCTCACCTGGCTCCTAAGATCGTCTCCATCTGAAATGGCTTGTGGGTGTCCTTGCGGCACTCAAGGCCTAAACTGATGCGCCATGTGTCACCTACAGTCATGTGGCATTCACTAATGGGAACACATTCTGAGAAGTACCCTGTTGTTGCTGTGTGAACACCCCCGAGTGTCCTCCACAAGCCTAGCTGGCACAGCTTCTGCACACCTGGGCTGCGTGGCGTGGCCTGGCGCTCCCACATACCGTGCTGAGTGCTGCAGGCAGCTAGAACACAGTGGTAAGGATTTGTGTAGCTAAACAAATCTGAACACAGAAAAGGCACAGCAAAAATATGCAATTACAATCTTACCGACCACTGTTATACATGCAGTCCATCACTGCACATGACTATCTTTTACCTCTGGGTCTGCAAAAGCTTGCCTTTCTTAACTGTACACATCAGAGAAGCAGCAAGGATGGATTCCCCCCTGCCCCAAGAAAGAAATACCACTTGGGCTGCTTGGCGGCCTTATCAGTTGCCATGGTAACAGTCAAAGGCAGTGGGTGGAAAGGCGTCTGTGGTGATGCCTCCCCAGTGGCAGCCCCTCCGCTGCTCCCACCAAGACCCACACAGGGGGGAGGTGGGAGAGCCTGCATCAGCAAACTCTGCATGGGACCTCTCCATGCCCCAAGCTACCTCACCCCTCCAGGGGCTCTGGGGTCAGGTTAGAGCAAAACTGAAGCAAGAAGCTTCCTACAATAACACTGCGTTACTGAGGATGCTCAGTTTCCTGTCCTTCAGCACACAGACCTAGAGCTGGCTCAGCTGGGGCTACCAACCCTCCAGGAAACAGGGACAGAAGACCTTGGCACATTAAGATAAAGCGTTTCGGCTCGGCGCCTATAGCTCAACTGGCTAAGGCGCCAGCCACGTACACCTAAGGTGGCGGGTTCGAATCCCCAGCCCGGACCCGCCAAACAACGACGGCTGCAACCAAAAAATGGCCGGGCGTTGTGGCGGGCGCCTGTGGTCTCAGCTACCTGGGAGGCGGAGGCAGGAGACTCGCTTAAGCCCAGGAGTTGGAGGTTGCTGTGAGCTGTAATGCCACGGCACTCTACCCAGGGGGACAGCTTGAGGCTCTGTCTCAAAAAAAAAAAAAAAAAAAAAGATAAAGCGTTTCTCTGCTGGGTGAGAAAGTTTCCCTGGAGGCAAACTGGGTTGTGTGCACCAAGGTTTCCATCCCTCCCTTTCTCCACTCATCTTGTGGCTTACAGACCTCAGCCCCAACTGCACACGGCCCACAGCAGCCCCTGTGTCACTCGGCACCAGCCGGGAGGTGACCATGCACCTGTGGTCTACACCTTCCAGGGATCGGATTCCCCAGTCACTGCTCTTCAACCTGAGCAGGTGGGTGGGCTCTGCTGAAGGGCCCAGGGGATGAGAGCTGGAAGCTGGGTCCTAGGTCCTGCTTCATCATGAGAAAGTCACCTAGCTTTCTCCCTAAGGGGTTCTGCCTTCTACAACACAAGAAAACCAGCTGAAACAGACTAAGTACTTTCACATTACAAGTGGGTAGACACATTCCCCACCAAGTTTAAATGTCCCCAAGTCCCTCCTGGGAGGCTCATGGTCTGGCCAGGGTAGTGGTGGTGCTGGTGGAAGCCAGAAGGGCCACAGACAAAGATGACACAGCTTCCTTGGGAGTCCAGCGAGGAAGCAGTGGCTTTGGGGTGGAGGGAGGTCTGGGATGAATTAGCTCTGATGAACAGGCTGGTGTGCCTGCCGGGGAAGGCAGAGAGGGAGCCAGGAGGACGAGGAGGTCATCTCCCCTCTGCAGGGAACAGTGTGCACAAAGCGTGGAATGGCAGGCATGCAAGATGCACGGTGATGCAGCCTGAGCAGGAGGCAGCAGCTGGGCCTGGGCTGGACAGGGTTTGGGGTTCACCAAGGAATGGCTTCACAAGGGCCTGGAAGTGAAGGCACATGTGGTCATACTTTCCAGTCGGCGACTTCGCCTGCACTTATGCCTTCAACCTCTGTCTCTTCCCCCTCTTCCAAAAATCTACCCATCTTTCAAGAGTCCGATCATGCATGCGTGTTTCCAGAGGCTTTCTAGAAGAAATGCATCTTCCATTTTTGAAACGCACATGCTGCCTCTAGTTTCTAACCTGTTGTCAGTCTCACTTCTCTGACAACTGTAAGCCTGGGGGTGTGGGTCCCATCTCACATTCCAACATCTTTTTCTTAGCTCCTAGAATGTCCACAGAGTGGGAACGCCACAGTCCTCTGGAGTGAGTGATAACTCAGGGCCACAGTGATGATCAGCTAGAACCCTAGGTTCCACCACATTGATGCCACAGGGATACAGAGGTGGGGGTTGCAGAGTTGTTTGGTCTGGTGCTAATAGTCCCGCCTGCCCTCGTGCTTACTCGCCTTTCCATTATCACATTTGTCCCCCCACCAGCAGTGACCCCCCAGCTTTCCACAGAGGGGAGTGCGCTACTGGAAAACCCACAGCTTTCCTTATTCTAATCATCTGGAATTACACACGTGGGCAGTGTCGCTGCTGGGAGAGTAAGACGAAGACACGGGACCCAAAAGCCCCAAATCCAAGTTCACTTTCGCTTTTCTCCCACACCGCAAGCTCAGATCAGCTTTTGTCTGAACTGTCATTCTGTAGAATTAACCCTTACCTGATGGAAAGATTCCGAGATATTTTCAAGAATAAGCAGTTGGTTAAACAGCAGCCTAATTTTTTGAAAACGAGGGTAAGTGTTCAGCTGGCAAAGTTCACCACGTATAAAGCACCGTGAGCTCTTAATTTGCAAGCTACGTTTAATGTCAATGATTATTACACACTGCCAGGCAGGAAAAGATAAGCTTTCTGCCTGACCATGAGATCTGATGGGTTTTGCAGCAATAGCCAACAGTGCCACTTTCATGCTTGGTTACCAAGCAGTAATGAAATTAACTTTTATTTGCAACATATCAAGAAAAGTGAGCTCACAAATTCATGAAAAAGGGCCCCAAACACAATGTCTAATTTGAATACAACCTAAGGAGATCAGAACTATCTTGCTTTTTTTTTTTTTTTTGTCTGGAAACCCCTCTGTGGCAGCCACATGACCTTTCTCGGCATTTGGTAACAAACAGAAAAATTGGATATTGTGAGCACCATTAATTTTGAAAGGAAAATTGAAAGTGAAAACCTACATTTTAACAGAACGTATATTGATGCTGGCATTGTGCACGGTGGCCAATGTACAGGCACAGAGGTCACTGCTTGTGTTAACATGGGGATGTGTTACCAGCTCGGATCTCGGAGCATTGGGCAGATAAACGTCCAGAACTATGAAGGGTCAGTAGATGGCACCGAGGACTTCCCTGGCCTGATTCCAGCCTTGCCACTTCCCTGTGGTGTGAGCTGAGGATGACACAGAAGAGAAACTGAGCCTCTGGAGAAACCCTGGAGCTGCCGGCTTCCCATTTCTATTCTTATTTTCTTTTTGAGACAGAGTCTCACTCTGTCACTTGGGTAGAGTGCTGTGGTGTCATCATAGCTCACAGCAACCTC